CATGAATGTTTTTCCTTCTCTCTCCCCTTCTAGGCACATACAGGGCAAATGCTTTTTTTCCCTATTCACTTTAATAGCAGTTTGGTGGGGTATATTAGATCTGGGGGTATTCTTGATCATTCATCTCTGAAAAGGTGAAAGATCACTTGTTTTTGAAATGAGGGAGCTATTGGAAGAGTTGGGGTGTGCTTTGCAGCAAGGCAGGTCTCTTCAAGGCTTGAGTTATGCTTTCATGTGTGCCTCAAGCACGTGAATTTTTGAGCACATATTTTTACAGTCTATTTCTTTTCTGGTGGTTGCTGCTGCTAATAAGATAACAAAGTCTCTGTGCTTTGCTTTATGAGAAGGTGCCCTCCAGCCTCTGGGGAAGAAATCTTGTCCTCGATCTCAGGCCGCCAACTCTCAGGCGTCGCCAACTTGCTCGGAGTACTGCACGCGTTTTCAGCAGTGGTTGCCCATGGACCAAATTCCCAAGGGGTCTTTCTCTCTCCTCTTGCTGAGAGAGAGCTGGGGACTCACACCTTGCTCCAGGGTACCCTTGATGTCCCTGACTCCGGTTCTTGCTCTATCATCATGGTGGTGATAATGCGTTGGGCTTCAGTTGCAGGGCTCAGATCCCAAAGGTGGCCTCCCCTTGGAAGGGAGCCAAGCATTTCAGGGCTTAAATGGTAGAGCCCCAACCCCCAGGCTAGTTCTCAGCCTCTTCTGGGTTTTCCCATGTTGTTCCAGAAAGAGCATGGTTCCTTCCTTTGTGCTTCTAGTCCTGGTACCACTGAACGCACACGGCGCGTGTTCAAAGTGTGGATCTCGGGGAGAAAATTCAGAAGTTTTGATTGATGCCCATGCAGAGGCCAGAGTTGGAGGCATCCCTGCGTTAGCGTCTGCCATGACCAAGCAAGTACCGTTGCTTCCACGCAGAAAAGAGCTCTTGTAGCCGATGCCTATTGCTCTGCTGCTGTGAAGCCCTTTCTAGGTGCTGCCCAGCCAGCAGGCCGCACCTTTGGCGCTTGCAGGCAGGAATGCAGAGCGTGCAGTCTCCAACGAGCCTGCTAGCGACAGCTCCCTCCGAGCAGGGACAGGGATCCCCTTGATGTTGATGCATGCTAGGAGACACCGTTTCACTCTTCCCTCCGTCGGAATTAGTCACGCTCTTGCAGGATGCTGAGCTGAGACAGGCTGCTGCTGAGCACGGCATCCCTGGATCTCCGTATGGTTGCGCTAAAGCAGGTGATAACCAAAATGCTTGTGAGGGCTTCTTCCCCCATATGGCACGTCACTGCCATCATGCCTGGGGAGTGCTTTGCTTTCTGTCTTAAGAAACAGGATCATGCAAGAGGTAACATCATCTCTCTAAGGCAAGGACCTCTGTGAGGAGCATCCACAGCCAGGAGAGCTCTCTGTAGCATGCCTCCTGGGCTCTTCAAATCCCATCATGGATGGGTGGTCTTAGCCACGTTGTTCCTGCTCCCTCCTTTGGGATCCAGCTGAAGGGGCAGCTCTGTGAGTCCCCATTCCCCAAGTGCCTCGCATTCAGTTTAGTTTTCTTTTTTCCTGTTCCAGAGCTGGTCAGCGTCCAGGATTTCTTTTTGGTGCTGTCCTGATTCCTGCTTAGAGACACCTTCAATCTTTGCTTCAAAGCCTCCTCCCCCGCGTGAATACACTTCTGAACAAGCACTGGAAGTAAAGCGGGGGGGGTTACGTCTTAGTAGTTAGAGATTGTCAAGTTGTACTTTTTTTGCCCATTCATTACCCATCTTCCTTCCCCGTTCCTTCGGGCTTTTAGATCTCTTGACGTTATATTTAGCAAACTGCAGCAGTGAAGAGAGACTGTGTGAGCTTTACCCTCTTGGGTCCCGTAGCTGGGAAGAAACCCGTGTTTAAAGGGATGACGGTCGCTCGTCAGTTTTGCAGATGCTCTTAGAGAAAAAAAGTTTCTGACTTTTCTAACTCAAAAGTACTTTTGAGCTCAAGGAAGACCAAACACACTGGTAGAACTGGTAAATAACATTTGTGTCTTTAGGTAAAAGGATTGAAGAGGGGGAGGATAGAAACAGAAGGGGAAATCCTCGAAAGACTTGTATTTTGAGGGGTTTATGCTTTTCTCTGTTTCTGTTGCAGCCTGCCAGAATTTACTGAAAGTGAAAAGCAGAGAATTAAAGGCACATATGACTTCTTTGGTCTAAATCATTATACTACAGTTTTAGCATACAACTTAAACTATCCTGCTGCTCTTGCGTCCTATGACTCTGATAGGTAAGATGTGAATGTAAATTATTGATCAAACGAAATGTGCACTTCTGGAGCCTGAGCCAACTGAGCGATGTAAACTAACAGCAAACAAAGCTATGAGCCAAATATATTAAGCTGTTATAACCAACATTAAGAGAAAATGTCCACAGAAAGTAACTGTGATACTATTGTTTTTCGCTCTGCGGTGATGGCCTTTTTTACAGACTTGATTATAAAAGTGAATGGTTAAACCAGCACCAAAAAAAAAAAAAAGGCACCTTCTAAACAAAAGGAGTCAACACTTCTGAATCTCCTCATGGTCTGGTATCAGCTTTAAATAGCATTTATCATTTTTTCTGGCCAAAATGCAATTTGACATGCTGGACTATCCTCACTTCTGGATACTGCTCTGTTTGCTAGGCAGCAGTAGTTGGTTCCCTCATCACACTGTGTAAACTAAGTTAAAAGCCTAAACAGCTAAATCACTTCATGTTTAAATATACAGAAGTCAAGATTTATATTTAGAGATATTGATTTCCTTCCCCTGTTTCAAATGATGATAAGTCCCTCCTGTTTAAGGAAATCTTGGAACCACCCGTGGGAGAACACAAGCTGTTTTCAGAAATACTTTCACAGATAGATAATATATGGAATTGAGTGCAACTTCCCCGGTGAAACTTTTTCCCTTGATCTTTGCTGCTCCATCCCTGCCCCTGTGGTTTAGAGTGTTAGCGGCGCACTGGGCTCAGTCTTGCATTCCTGTACGTAGGAGTAAATAGCAATTTGGGGTGCGCAATCACTGCATTGTAGATTATAGGTTGAAAAGTAGAAACGGTTTCAAAGTACAAAGACATGGCAGGCTTGTGATTGGAACTAAAATCACATCTTCAGCTTGAGGTGATTTGAGCAGAAGATAATTTTAAAGCATACACATATGAGAAATGCTTTTTGGAGGCATGTGAGCACCAGCAGTTCTTCACCACCTCAGACCTCTGTGCTTTCACCTGCTTCCCACGGCTTCGTCTATGCTTCAGCTCGCTGCAGAGCTCAGCGCAGCAGTTCTCGGACGGAGCTGGCTGCGGTGCCATGGGTAGGAGGTGCCGGTCACGCTGTGGGTGCTGGAGGGTTGTCAGTGATCAGCGTGTCCCCCTCCACAGGGGCGTCGCCTCAGTAACAGACCGCAGCTGGCTGGGCTCTGGTTCCTTCTGGTTAAACGTGACGCCCTTTGGCTTCCGAAAGCTCTTGAGATGGCTAAAGGAAGAGTATGACAACCCTCCAATTTATGTGACTGAAAATGGGATTTCAGAAAGGGGAGCTGTAAACTTCAATGATACTTGGCGAATGCATTACCATCGGCATTATATTAACGAAGCCCTAAAAGGTAAGAATGCTTTTTTAAAATGTGATCATCGAAAGCTCTAGCAAGCAGCAGCGTTTCCAAACAGGACTGACCTGCATGTGATGCAAGTGGTGAAGAACAAAAGAGCGACCACTTGTAGTGCATTTGCTAATCGGACATCCATATGCGTTTATGCTGCATCCGCTTTTGAGAGCCTTTGGATTTAGCACACGCTGGTCATGGATATCCCAAGACCTTTGACAGGGAAGGATGATGAGCTTAAAGCAGGAAGACCAAACTATGGGTTTAATAGGGTAACTACAGCTTCCTTGTATAGCTGCCTTTGCCAAGGGAAGGGTCTGCTACTTGCCAATGTAATTGTTATGGAAACCTTTTTTCACTTGCATTCTGATTGTTGCTGTTTCTGAAGCTGAACTGCTTTTTAAAAAGAAATGGTTTTAGTTAAAGCAGTGGTCAAGCAGCATGGGGTAAATGCCCCCTCCCCAAAGTTTGGTCCTCTGAGATAACTGGCAGCTGTTCAGGAAGTACTTGTTGCATCTTGAAGGCTTTTATTTTCTGTTCTTAAATCTTTATTCAATAATAGCTTTGGATTTTTTTTTTAATCTTTTTTTTTTTTTTTTTTTTTTAAAGACAAACAGTCTCCAGTCCTGGCTGAGTGCGCTACCCTGTAGCTGTAGCTTGGCAGTAGACCAGAACTTCCACAAAGCAACTGAGCTGAGGCAACCTTTGAGAGCCAACTGGCTGGGGGTGGGGGGTGGGGGAGGATAGGGACACCTAGGATAACATGGCAAAAACCTCACCTGCACTCAGCAAGCTGCTTTGCTGTAGCACCCGGGAATACCTGTGTACCACCAGCGTGCCTAGCTGTAACTCTGCCTGTTGCCTGCCCACACACCCCCCTAACCTTTTACATTTGGTCCTGGTAACAGCTGTTGTGCTTGATGGCGTTGACCTGCGAGGCTACACCGCCTGGACGTTGATGGACAACTTTGAGTGGGCGGTGGGCTTTGCTGAAAGGTTTGGGCTCTATCATGTGAATCGCACAGACCCCAACTTGCCGCGACTCCCCAAGGCTTCTGCCAGGTTTTACTCGCAGATCATAAGCTGCAATGGCTTTCCAGACCCAGCAACTGGCCCCCATCCCTGTCTGGAACCAGAGCCTGACGGTAAGTAAGTAAGTGACACAGCGGAACTAGTATGTGGGTAGGTGTGGGCATTTCTTACCGTAATCCCATAAGATTCCCATAATCTGTGGTCTTGAAGGAAATGAACATCTTAAGGGCTCTGGTTTTAAGGGCACTGATTAATCATCAGGCTTTATTATCACTGAGGATTTTTAATGCAGAATTAGGTCACTTACTTACTTCTGTATGAGACTCTAGACCAGTTTGAAAATATTTTGTGTGGTAACATACCTAGCTGCATGCCTAGTCCCCCAAAGGCAGTAAAAAGCTCATCAAAGAGAAGCAAAACTGAGCAACAGCACTGCTGGGTGTACCTAAGTTGCTTTCTGAAACACAGAAATGCAGTACTCCCCAAATTTTGGTTTTAAAAAAAAAAAAGAATTGTGACTACTTGTACAGACTCAGTGTTTTGGCTAAGCCTTTGGAAATACTCTTTTATCATTGAAGTTCGCTGAAGCAGAGGAGTATACTAATTATGTAATCACCATTGCTGGTTTTGTTTTGTTTTTAAAATGACCATGTGTATCAAGCTTTGGGATGACTATAGCTGCTAGAGGCTACTTGCCTCTCCCAGTCTCAAGAGCTCTACTGTGAGCCTCAGTTGTGCTTTTACTCTGAACTACCAGCAAGTGTCAAAAGAATTAACAGCTATTGCCAGAGTACTACCCAGCAACTCTGAAAGCCTTGTAGAGGGAGGAAGAGGCAAGACACATGTACATGAAGGAGTCCATGAGATGCTATGTACTAATATGTTCTTGTTGTTTTCCTACAACACAGTGACACCAACAGGCACCACACCGGGGCTGGCTGACAGCGTTCGCTTTTTGGGATTAGATTTAACATCACAAAACGCAGAAATTGCATTGTATGTGCTTTTTGCTCTTTCTGGCATTGGAGCGCTCGTTCTGGTCCTTATCGCATATATGTACGGAAAGCTATCCAAAAGATCCCACAAAAGATCACATGTGGAACTCAGTAAAATGTAAGGGTTCATTTTGCTTTTTAAATGTGGCACAGAGGTACTCGTTTCTTTGCAAAGAAACACCTCCTTGTTGCTGCACATGCCACCAGAAGAAGATAGGCTAATGCTTTTACTACTGCAACTTAGCATCTTGTTTTAGATATAGCTTCCCACCATTCTTTGGTTGCTTAAGGTAGAAAAATTTTCCTTTGTATTTTAAAGTTGTTAACTGATCTGTTTTTCATACATGACTGATTTAATTTCTTAAAGACAAAGTCTCATATTGCTTGTCTGGGGTTGTATAAAGATTCTTGAACTCCTTGGAGTCCTGATCCTTGGATCCTGTTGGTCTCTCCAGGGGCTTTGAGAGAGACTCAGTAAAGCTCTACAGCTTTCTCATGTTCTTAAAACAAAAATTATTTTTAATACAGGAGCAAACTGGCCTAGGACAATGTGGTGTTTAGTATACTACTACTGTCTAGATAACTTGTTTGTCCATTTTTGTGTAGATACTATATCCTTTATTTGATTTAAATAGTATTTGCAGTATTTCTTTGAACTGTATATTATGAAATAAATTGTTAAAAATCACTATGCCTTTACACTTGAACAGTGTGTGAAGTAGCAAGAACACCTGTAATGTTCAGGTCCATAAAAGTAAGATGCACAATAACTGGGGGGGAGGCAGTAGGGGGAGAGAGGTTGAGCTTTTTCACAGAGGAAGAGTGTTATTATCCCCCTCATAACAGCATCATAACAGCATTTTTTTGAGAGAGAAACAAGGATTTTTTTCCCACTGTATCATATTCCAGACCCAAAACACTACTTTATGGGCATTTTGCCAGATTACAGTAAGAAGTCGTCCTGAGTAAGGTCATTTAAAGTAGAACAAAAGATTTGTCCACTCTATTTTAAACTGCAGTGTATAAGCATAGTTTTACAGTCTTACTGCTTGCTTCCTTGTTACACAGAAGTACTTCAGTGGAAGTTTACAAGAGAAGCCAATACTGTTTTCTGAAAAACATTTTATTGAGTGCTTGGGGAATTAAAAACTACAAGGTTTTGCTGGCAGCTGCAGAAGCAAGAAAAAGTTAAACATAAATTAGTTATCTGATTTGCTGCTACTTATAGTGCTTCTGAAACCCTCATCTTAATCAGTCATTGCCTACCCCAACCTTTATATTATTATCTGGCTCTTAAGTTTACATAGCAGAATATTTATAGATTAAAAAGTACCTTCCTACACCAGTAGGGCTAATGATTATGAAAGCCAATGGAGATTTTTAAATCTTTTTAATTCTTTGAACTTCTAGGCCTCAGCTACGTCCACTTGATTTTTCTGACTTAGGCAACTTTATTCCATGCTCCACTGCAAGAATAAGAATTTTGCAATTCAGTCAGTGTAAGATAAGCCCCACTTGTCCAGAAGCTTTAGTTGACTTAGATCAAATAAGGAAAGAAAAAAAAAAAACCCACCAGACAGCAATTACTGCAGTTACTTAAAACTACATTTGTTGTGTAGAATTTCCGTTCCAGGTATTGTTTTCATCTTCGCCATCATCTTGAGTCCTCAGTCTATATATTTTGCCTTCTTTTTTGAAGTCTTCCCCCCGCTTTTCCATCACTCGTTTCCTTACTGCTTGCCTAGGGTACAAATGACAGTGAAATCTGAGGGTTTCCTCTCGTAGTAAGTGCATTTATTGTATTCACTCCCCTTGTATAAATCATACATCCTTCCTGTACTTATCGCCAACGACAATTTTTTTCAGCCCTTTCAGTTTCATTGGGAAGCAATAGCTATCTGAAAAGACATCATTTAGAAGTCAAACTGAAAGAATCTCATTTTCCCTAGAAAACACCTGTTACTGAAGTGATACAAGGCTGCTTCGTGTGAAACTGCCTAAGCAGTTCTCCCGGTACACGGAATCTCTCAAACGGTGCAAAACCTTAACAAGCAAAGTCAAAATAAAGCTGCTCGAGTTTCTTGTACAACCACACTGTAACAGCTAGACATTTCATTTTGAAAGTTTTTATCTTCTAAAGAGCATGGGCTCAAGTGAGGCCTGCATTTGTAGGTATAACTGAATTCCCTATTCCTAACTGACAGCAGAACCATGTACTTCTGGCCTGTAGCTGGAAAGTGAAGCAATTCAGTAAGGAGTCTGGTTACTCACACATGCAAAAAACACAGATTCCTAGCCAGAGTTGCAGTGGAGTTTACCAGCTACCAGGTTAATCCCTTTTAACCACAGGGAAGGGTCGTTCGTGGCCAGAAACTGCAAGGACGGGGCAGGAGTTAAAAAGGGGCAGATATGGTCCGATTCCCCACTACAAGACACAAACAATTCTAGCAAGTAGTTTGAGAAAGAGCCACCTTAAACAGTTGTGATTACCTGCTTTGCTCAATGCTGCTAGATGCTGAAGGATTTGAATGTTCTTGCTGGTGTGCTGTTCTCGCAGTAGATTGTGAGGGGGGTGGACTGGTAAATAGGAAGTTGCTAATAAACCTCCAAACTGCTAAGAGGGGATAAAGTATTGTGCCCAAGAACTTCCACAGATCGCCACCTGAGGCCTGAACAACAGAAGTAGCAGGTCTTCCCGCCTATCGATGAACACACAAAACAAACAGTAAGATATCAAAGCCATATATAGATAGAGTATTATTTCATGCATAATTTAGAAGCAGCTCAGTAGCCATTGCAAAAGAATCTCCCTGGTTACACATTAGACAAAAATATCTATACCTCCATAGAGCCACAGAAAAATCCTTCTCCAAATTAGTCTTGTCAAAAATTGTAATAATTTTGCAATCTGTCTTAGACACAGTAAAGACCAAAATTCAAAGAGAATATTATAATGGCCTACTTAAAGCAGCTATACAGCTAGAGCATTGCTGTTTCCAGGGGAATAAAAACAGAAAGCAACACCTACCGGCAGCAACACTACTGAAGCACTGGGTGCTAACTCTAGCTCCAATAATTTCTTTCCATAATCTTCTTTGGTAAACTCCCTTCTGGGAAACATTGTTGCCAGTGAAAAATTGCCATAAGCATTACCAACTGTCTGTGAAAATGTAAAGAAAACATTTTATTTATAACTGGTCACTTTCAAACAACCACTTCAGATTTGCCACCTTGCCATATGGACCCAAGAGTTCTACATCAAAATAACAAGCATCTTCATGGGGAGAAAGGAGTATTTTTTCCCATTATCTTACTCTCCTTTCTCCTATCAGTCATATGCTGTTGTAGCACACAGGCAGTTGGTGGCAGTGGAAAAGGCTGCTCTCAAAATCCACTTCGAATAAACACGAAGGAAAGCAGTTTACCACAATTCCACAATAATCAACCACCAGGTGATTCTACACCTAGCTGTAGCCAGCAGGTAGCTGACAAAATGAAACATCGATTTACCTGTGCAGCAAACTGCCTTGCTTCTTCCAGCCGTGCTTCAGATGGAAACTGGTTAGTAAAGGAAGAGCCATCTGGGAGGCGGAACTGAATCCTGGCTATTGCACTGTGGGAGACGTATCACAGTCAGTAAGCATGTTGAACAGTTACAGATAAATGCTCCCAGGGCTTCAGCTTGGTAGTATTCAAATGTGGAAAAGAAGGACAGTCACCCTATTTATGGCAGTTTAGGTTGGTTATCAATTTGGACCTACAGTTGATAACCATCTGCTTATGTATGAGAACGTATCTCCTCTGGATTTGATCAGAGCCCAAGACCCATGACCACTCAAACCAGATGTTTAAAAGAAATAATCCTGCAAAAATGAATAAGTAAATGAATGAAATGTAAGCCATACACCTTTTCTGTAGCCTGTATCACTATTTGTTGCTTTTTCAAGAACTCATACTATGAGGGCACAGACATTTAAGCTGCCTTTGCATATAAGGTGAGGGAGGTGATGCTGCCTGCAGGCTCAGCGTAATTCTGCATTCAGCTAGCTAAGGTCCAGCACTACCGTTTGAGTGTCAGGGCTGACACAGTCCGTTAATCAGTCACACCTGCGCTGCGCCCTCTGTTTAGGGGCACTGCTAAACTCTCAGTGGCTCCATATCTCCACATAAGGCCTCTCTACAGGGTCAGAATATTTCTTAAAACTAGTGTTGGACAAAGCAGGAACCAACTCGCCCCACGTGGCTGCTGAGCCCAAGCGAGCCTTGCTGTATCCAAGCCAATTGCCCACGCTCCGTAACACGCTCCCCAGCGTAGCTCTGACATAACCACATTATCTCATTCCCTACCCAGCCGCCTCTATGCATGATATTCGAATCAAAGAACAGACAAGAAAAGCTCTTCTCTAAC